GCTTATACTGCTTGCCTAAGAAAATACAGTACATGTAGTGATGTATTATAGAATACAGTGCTGCATTTATATTGGTCTTTAATATCTGCGTGCAGTTCAGCTTGAAATGTACCATACCTGTGTGCAGTGTTGTATGTTAGTTTTGTGCTGCCCTAGGCAAGACTAAACCTGGGCACCCGCCCCCGGTTTAAATTAGTCCCACCTCTTTAAGACATTTTGTGTAACCTGTCACGCTGTATCTAGGATCAACATAGCGGGACGCTCTAGTTCTGCCTTTGCAATGGCCCCCTTCTCCATTCCTGGCTTGATGGGCTCTCTAGTTCTCCAGCTACAATACCCATTCTCTCCTGCCCTGGCGTACTGTGTTAGTCTCTAGTTCTGCAGCTACAAAACCCATTTTCTGCCCCAGCATGCTGGCATCTCTAGTTCTGCAGCTACAGTAACCATTCTCTCCTGCCTTGCCATGCTGTGCTAGTCTCTAGTTCTGCAGCTGCAACACGGATCTTCTGCCTTAATATGCTGGGCCCTCTAATTCTGTTGTTACCCATCTTCTGCCTTGGCCGCTGGGCTCTGTAGCTCTACCCTCGCCCCGTTCTAGACGCATAACCTGGCACGGAGCTCACAGGCTGCACTTCCCCGGACTTATCACCTCCTCATCATGGAGACCAGGATGAGGAAAGAGCTGCAGCGGGCATACATGAAGGAGTAGGCGGCATAGGTGGACACGTTGGTTCCCCAGTCCAAGAAGCACCAGGTCATGGGGTACTGGCAGTCATATATGAATAATTTACCAAACTGGTATGGGGGCGTCAGAAAAGTGCCGCCCAGGACAAATGCCTAGTTTGCCTTGCGGTAGATACACCCCTGCCTATGTGTAAGGGCCTTCCTAAACAATCTATCCAATAAGGAGACCAAATCGTATTGAAACCCATGTGGTCAGCATTAGTGATGGCCCGAACACCCCCCGTGTTCGGTTCATATTCGAACACCCGAACGGCCGAAAAGTTTGAATACGAACTCGAACCTAATGCAAGTCAATGGAGGTCGAACTTTCGAAAATGATTGTCCCCTTTAAAAGTGCTTATATGCAAGTTATTGAAGTAGATGGGAGACCGACGCTGAATTACCTTTACAACTTCTGAAACTGAAGGGACTGTAGCTGAGTTTATTTGCTGTTTGGCTCTAATCACGTTTTCTGCTGCCAACAATTCACTCTAAAGTCACCATTTTGATGCCCTTCAGTTAACACCAGGATGTAATTAGAGATTGGAGACCGTGGGGCGGAATTTATCAAAACTGCAGTAGACAAAATCTGGAACAGATTTGCACTGCAGCCAATCAGGAAGCTATTTTCAAATCTTACCTGAGCAAACTGAAGAGAGATGCTGATTGGTTGCCATGGGCAACTGCTCCAGATTCTATTTGCTCCAGTTTTGATATATTCCCCCCCATATGTCACATTATTAAGTACTGCAAAAAAATGAAATATATATCTTCCCCACACAAACACGATGTTTCAGTTATGTAAATCCTATGACCCATTTATCTAAAAGTAGTAATAATACAAAAAATGAATCTATTTACTTGCATACTTGATTTAAATATTTGCACTACTGGACATGGAATGTATCTGAATAATGAAACCTGGACTGTGTCAGCTGAACTCGCATACTTTATAGACTGTATAATAGGGATGCCCCGATGCCACTTTTTTAAGACCAAGTACAAGTACTGGCCCTCATGTACTTGCCGATACCAATTACCAATACTTTTTCTTAAAGGGACAGGTGACATTTTAAAAAAAAACATCTGACTCACCTCTGAACTCCATGTCCACAGCTAAACTCTGTAACCCTCATTCAGAGCTCACCTTTGCCCCCTCATTCACAGCTTACCACTATAGCCCCTGTCCACAGCTAAACTCTGCTCCCCCTCGCCACAGCTTACCTTTGCACCACAATTCACACCTCACCTCTTCACCACCCAGCCACAGCTAATGTCACTAGAGATGGTCAGAGAGTGTAGACATGTCACTAGAGATGGTCAGAGAGTGTAGATATGTCACTGGAGATGGTCAGAGAGTGTAGACATGTCACTAGAGATGGTCAGAGAGTGTAGTGTAGATATGATCTGAGCCGCGGGCAGGTATTATGGCGATATGTCACTGGCGCATCAGCGCAGGGCCTTCTTCTGCCTTTGCAGGCCCCCCCAAGTGGCGGAATGCCAGGGCCCGGTCGCACTTGCGACTGCTGCGACCCTGGTAGTTCCGCAAGTGATGCTAAGCCTTCTCAAAGATCTCTGAAGAGCATAACAGTAATTTACCATTTCACCGACAGCAGCAGTCAACAAGTAGCTGGGGAAGGAGGAGAGAGACACTGACTGATGCTGGGGAGGGGATGGAGGAAGAGAGACACTGACTGATGCTGGGGAGGGGGGTGGGGGAAGAGAGACACTGGCTGATGCTGGGGAGGGGATGTAGGAAGAAAGACACTGACTGATACTGGGGAGGGGATGGAGGAAGAGAGACACTGACTGATACTGGGGAGGGGATGGAGGAAGAGAGACACTGACTGATGCTGGGGAGGGGGGTGGGGGAAGAGAGACACTGGCTGATGCTGGGGAGGGGATGTAGGAAGAAAGACACTGACTGATACTGGGGAGGGGATGGAGGAAGAGAGACACTGACTGATACTGGGGAGGGGATGGAGGAAGAGAGACACTGACTGATGCTGGGGAGGGGGGTGGGGGAAGAGAGACACTGGCTGATGCTGGGGAGGGGATGTAGGAAGAAAGACACTGACTGATACTGGGGAGGGGATGGAGGAAGAGAGACACTGGCTGATACTGGGGAGGGGATGGAGGAAGAGAGACACTGGCCGACACTGGGGGGAAAGAGGGGAGAGATGACGTCCGATGCTGGGGTCACGCAAAAATTTCCTCGGCCGAAAAGGGGTCACGAGTGTAAAAAGTTTAAGAAGGCATGCCCTCGGGGAGAGGAAGTAATGAAAAAAAATATTTTAAAAACTCTTAAAGTGTGCAGTTCCCCCTCCCAAACAATACTACGCCCTTTAGGTCTGGTAGGAATGTTAGGACGGACCATTTAAAAAAAACAAGCATAAGGTTCCCCCTAAAAGTCATACCAGGCCCTTAAGGTCTGGTAGGAATTTTAAGGAGGAACCCCACCCCCAAAATTGGGGGGAGAAAAACGTATTGCCAATGGGGACAAGTGCCTCGTCCCCACAACCCTGACCCGGTGGTTGTGGCGGTCTGCGGGCAAGGGGGCTTATTTGCATTGGGGTACCCCTTTAATTAAGGGGGCACCCAGATGCCGCCCCCTCCCTTGTGAATGATTAATGGGTACTTGTACCCCTACCCATTCACTAAAGGATTAAATAAAATAGTTATTAAAAAGTCGAGACTTTTGAGAAAATCCTTTAATTGAAAAAAAAAAAGTTTAAAAAGCCACCCAAAAATTGATCCAACGGCGTAATCCAGGGTCAATCACAGCGTCCAGCGTTGTCCATGAAGACCATGAAATAAAAAATAAAACAATAAGAAATAAAGAGAAATATAAAAAAAAAACACCGTCCGCCATCCCGTCCGCTCCCCGTGTGGTCAGGTGCAAGTCTTTAACCAATTAGAGCTTCGGGGGGCTCTTTGCAGTATGGGACATTGCACGGTCGAACAGACCGCGAACATCCCATAAAGTTCGTCAGACACTCGAGCGGCCGATATTCGACTCAAACTCATGTTCGAATCGAATCAATGGGCCATCCCTAGTCAGCATTAGAGGTAGTCTTTGGGTATAAATGGGAGCTGCTGACCCTCCATATTCAGTAGCTGAGGGTTATGTACATATTAGGGCTGGTAATGATAAAAAATTTCGTGTTCGATTAATCGAAATTTTTTTAAATCTATTAATCGATTCATTACGATTAATTATAAAACACATACAGAATTCTTGTCTAAGCAACAATGGTAATGGGGACAGGGCCACACAAAGAAATGTAAAAAAAATATCGCTCATGTAGGAGCCATATCATTGTCGTGGATGGACAAGGTCCATCATGGTGTACCGAAGGGCAAGATGAGATGCCTTTAGTTGATTACAAACAGGATTGCTGCACAGTGGGGTCCATGTTTTATTAAAAACCTTTATAAGCCGGTAACAGATATTTTTGGAATTGGAGAGTTGGGTAGCTGCTTACAAAGATCGATACGATAGATTTTATAGTATCTGGGCCACCTGGCTATTACGTTTCCCTGGGTCTAAGACCCTCCAGGGCAGATAATGCTCATTCCCTGCTTGTACAATATTAGATTTTTAAATCTGGGCTGTAGTAGCTGCTTCTATTCATACACCTCTCCACTCACCTTGGGGTGGGCCACTCACCTGTATTGGAACTTATATAGCTTCACATGTAGTAAATCTGCACTGTACGATTTTCTATTCGTAATGTTTCCCTCATTTTCTCCCCCTTCCTAACAAAGGGAAGGGGGGAGGAGTCCGGTGACGTCACGGACATCGCCGTCACCTGACTCCTCACCCCTTCCCTTCGTTAGTCCACGGAGCCACTTGGGGAAGGGGGGAGGAGTCCGGTGACATCGATGTCCGTGACGTCACCGGATCTCCGACGGAACTCCCGGAAGGCGGGGGAGAGGTGAGTACCGATAAAAAAAAATGTAATCGATCAAAAAAATTAACGATTAATCGAGGAATTAATCGTTAATGTCCGCAGCCCTAGTACATATGATACTATGCCCTTGGGCAGCTCCTCTGCAATTTTTCTATGTATTACGAGTATTACTTGTTTGCTGTTCCATATTTGTTTTGATTGGATTCCACATACAGGTTTACATAACAGTGGATAGATAACAGATCATTTTAATCTATTCAGCATGAGGATATTGTTTTCAGTCTAAGCAATTCCAGAAGTCTACAAAGCACATGTGCTGCACACTCTCATATACTGTATATCATTATTATGCTCCTTACATAGAAATACACCAGTGGACCTACTGACCTAGATGAGGCCTGCCATGCCATATGGAGCAGGATGCAGGAGGACGGCTATGTAGATATTCAGGTACTGGAGACTGAAGAAGATGTCAGTGCGGGGAAGCCCCCCCATAAGTGCCTGTCCTATTCCACGGGGAGGTTTAGAAATGGTGAGTGACTGCTTTTTCTGGATCCACACCACTGCTAATGCTATGGGTTAGAGCTTGGGGTTTTAGCCAATCAGGAGGGGCAGATTGGCTAACAGCAACCTTTATCAACTTTAGGAAGCAGTGGTGGAGGGTTAAAACCTCTGTCTGTTTACTTCCTGTCCTGGTTATGCAACAGGAAATGAAGGAAATCATCTCAAGCTTAGGTGCCAGGTGTCCCCAATGGGGAATTTCCCCTTTATTTCCTTATTAATCAGGGCAGCTGTCATGTTCTGGTAACAATTGTCATTATTCCAGGAAGTGAGGGAAAAAATCTTCCTCAATGGGGACACTGGAATAAATATCTGACAGGGGTTTTAACCATTCACTACTCTGAAAAAATAGTTTTGGCTTGAGTACTACTTTTCATATAGATTACAAGGCTGCTACAAGGGTGTATTATCATGTATTATCAATTGGGTCCATAACCACAGCGCTCTCCACCCCAAACAGGAGCCACCGGACTCTGCAATATCGGACCAACAAGCTGCCTCAATCCGCTGCTACAGACGCTCTATATGAATAAAGAGTTTACAGGGATCCTGTGCAGGTGAGAATGCTGAGTGCAGTGTTTATAAACGCTGAGGGCCTTGTCCGGAGCCAACGCGCTTTGAGGCATTTTGATGCTGCAAGCTCCCAGCACAGTGAACGAGCTGTCAGTGACTGGGCTCGGTCACTGTTTACGTTCGTAAGCTGGTGAGACAAGCTCCTTTATCCACTGTGACAGCCAATCGCAGTGAACACATGATCGGGAAGCCTGCCTGTGACTCCCAGCATGACCACTGCGATAGCCAATCACAGTGATCACATGATTCGTTTATTCAAAAACGCTTAAATGGCCAGAAGGTTACAGATTAACATTCACTTGTCTTTTATATCTGCCTAGAGATTAGCTTTAAATTTTTTTTTTTTTTAAATAGAATTTGGCTTGGTATCAGCCACTGTTCTGTAGCAATCACACTGGAAGGATGGCAAAGGGAGCCAATCAGGTGTGCAGCCTGCAAATGTGCTGAGAAGGAACACAATGATAGAAGGAGAGAGCAGAATGAGCAGATGGATGACCTTATCAGTCTCCTGCTGCTCCTTTACTGTCCAGCCAGCAGGCTGAGGGTGGAGAGAAGACAGCTCTGTAAGTGATGTCATCCACCTGATGACAGTGTTACAAATCTTTTGTCTTTCTCATGAAGGCCATAGACAGCAGAGGGTTCACCCTTCTCTACTCTACCCAACAACTAAAATATAGAAACAATGTGGCTGGATTTACACTTTCAGGCTAAACAATGTTTTATCATTACTAAGAATGTAACATTTGTATACCAACAGAAAGTTTCTGCTCCTGATATGTAACAATGGCTGAGTGTAATAGAACAATGAGGGGTTTTCAGCCGCTGACCTCACACACATTCCACACCCTTCCCTCCCCCATATTACATTGGGGGGGATACACTATCGGCATTCATCCCCAACAAGGGAAATTCTTTTTGTTTTGTATCACAGTTACAAAGAGAAGGTACAAAGGGCAACGACCAATCACGTGCCAGAATTCTTACCTTTGGTAATTAAAAACTTCTGATTGGCTTCCATGGATTAAAACTAGGGATGCACCGAAATGTTGGCCGCCAAAATATTTTGGCTGAAAATGGTACTATGAAGCAAAATGCAGATAGTACTAAAAAAAGTTTGAAAATGTGGTGCACTCCTAGCTTCTCTCCCTCCCGCTGGGTAACGGCTGCAAGCTTCGGTCTGTGACCCCTCTGATCCCCGCTGCTCTCCCCCACCTGGATCAGCAGAGGCAGCGGGGATCGCAGAGGGCACAGGGCACTGTTGGGAGGAAAGCTCGACTCTGGTGACAGGCGGGATGGGTTGGAGCAGTCAGGATGGAGAGCGGAACATAAACACTAACAGGGTTATTCACACAAGGGTGAAAAGTTTGGAGGAGGCTGGAGAAGTGAACAATCTAGGACAACATAGCTGAACTGGAAAGTGAGCTGAATTGGACAATATTTCCAGTTCAGCTATGTTGTCCTAGATTGTTCACTTCTCCAAACTCTTCACCCTTTTGTGAATCACCCTGTAAGCGATCAGTACTGATCACTCAGTGTTTGTAAATAACTGAGGACATAGTGGTTACTGTGTCCCCAGTTATGAATGAACAGGAAGTGCTATACATCACTTCCTGATCATTTATTATTAGGGACTTAGTAAATAGTTACTATCTGCTGACTTTATGAATGAACAAGAAGCAGCTCAGTACAGAGGCTTCCTGTCCATTCATAACTGGGTTCATAGTAAATATATATCTCCAGATTGTGAATGAAGAGTGAGTCTCTGTATTGAGATCTTCCTGTTCATTCAGTGCTGGGGCTGCAGAAAAAGAGATTGATTGACTCCCCAATCTCTTTTTCTATTTTGAAAGGGAAATATCAGAGGTCTGTTTAGACCCCTGATACTTCCCCAAATCCCCTAACACTAAAGCAAAAAAAATAAATAATAATAATAAAATAATTCAAAATTAATTTTAAAAAATGTTATAAAAGGTTGGAAAAACAAAGTCTTTCAGTTTTGGCCTGACACATTTTTGGTTTCAGTTTTCGTTTCAAAAAATGTATTTTCGGTGCATCCTCAGTTACAACAATTCACTGCATCTTTGCATTGCGTATTAAAAAGTGTAAAAATGTCAAATAACAAATCAGGGCAGCAAAATAATCTTTATTAAGGAGTCTCTCTTCCTTTCATTGGGGGTATTGCAGCCGCATCTATGGAATGCTGAGAGACATGAAGCCATGAGCAGTGTATTCCATGGACATAGCTGGATCTACAGTCCTACATATGGCCACTTACCATTGATTGGAGATTTTTGACTTATTTCCATTTAATAAAATCCTTCCTGTGTCCTCCCTGCAGGATTGGTGACCCGGAGGACAACGTCGCCCCAAACAGACGACTCCCCTATGAGCTGCTGGCGCTGTTTGAAGAAATGCAGGACAGCAAGGAGGACGCAGTGGCCCCGTACAGCCTCCTGCACTGCCTGCATGTTCTCAGCACGAATGGTGAATTCTGGGGAAGTGGTGGAGGGATTTAAATGATGGGCAGTATGGCTGATGGAAGGGAAGAAGCCTGAGGATAGACTATAACAAATGAAGCCAAGTTATGTAATGCAGCTCACTAACAGTAATAAAAGAGCTATGAATAGGACAGGAAAAATAACAGTGTATTTGTGGCTGTGGGGTAATTGCACATGGGGTTAGTCTTAGGTATAGGGAAGGTGTAGGGGGTCACAGGACAAGGATGACAGACAGAGGAGGATAAGCCTGTAGAAAGACTATAACAAATGAAGCAAAGTTATGTAATGCAGCTCACTAACAGTAATAAAAGAGCTGTGAATAGGACAGGAAAAATAACAGTGTATTGGTGGCTGAGGGATAATTGTACATGGGGGTATTCCTAGTTATTGGGAAGGGGTAGGGGATCAAGGGGCAAGGATGGTAGCCACAGGGGGATACACCTATAGATAGACTAGAACAAAGTAAGCTAAGGTTTTTAATGTAAATAAATGAGCTGTGAATATGACAGGAGATATAAAATCGTGGTTGTGGGTGTGCAATAAGAAGCAATTGGGGGTAGTCATAGTTTTTCACTTTGGCAGTGGGGGATATGGGTCACATGACAAGGATGGCAGACAGAGTAGGCTGAGCCTTTAGATAGATTGTAACAAATTAGGCCAAATGCAGCTCATTAACATCAATTAATGAACAGTAAATTTGGGGGAAGGGAGGGGGGGTATGGGTCACATGACAAGGATGGCAGACAGTAGGCTGAGCCTTTAGATAGATTATAACAAATTAAGCCAAATGCAGCTCTTTAACATCAATTAATGAACAGTAAATTTGGGGGAAGGGAGGGAGGTATGGGTCGGCAGACAGTAGGCTGAGCCTTTAGATAGATTATAACAAATTAAGCCAAATGCAGCTCTTTAACATCAATTAATGAACAGTAAATTTGGGGGAAGGGAGGGGGGGTATGGGTCACATGACAAGGATGGCAGACAGAGTAGGCTGAGCCTTTAGATAGATTATAACAAATTCAGCCAAATGCAGCTCATTAACATCAATTGATGAACAGTGAATATTCCAGGAAAAATAGAATTTTATATGTGGGTGTGCAAAAAGTAGTTTGGGGTAGAAAAGTCTTCTCCACCCTACTGAACCTTCTCCTTCAGACAACGCCCAGCCCCCAACTGGTAGGTATGGCAGATCTGGTGGGAGGGGGGTGGCATTTGGTTTGGGGGGGTTACATAGGATTTTTATGTTAAGCCAACCGATTGTAGAATGTAACATCTGCATGGAAAAATCTTTCCGTCTCCTTCAATCCATGTGACATTTGTGATTGGATCGGACTTTCCTTGCCAAAATGTAGCAGATCATACAATCGGGTTTCAGTGTGTGTGGGCAGATAAGAGATTTCCATAAGGTGGGGGGGAAGGGGGGCACTGATCACATCAAGCTGAACATTCGATTATCTGGAAGTGATCTTTCTATTCCCTCCTATTTCTGAAAAGCACTTTTACAAGTACCGGCCCTTTAACCATTGCAAGGCTTGGCCTGTTTCCTAGAAAATGGATTGTTTCGGTTGTGGGTGGATGATGCCCATCAGCCTTTTACCCTGGCAGTGAGCGTTCTCAGCACCATCTTGAAGGAACCAATACAAGGCGTTCTCAGATGGGTTTTAATTAAAGGTGCACCGAAATAGAAATTTAAAAACCTAAATAAAAAAAATTGTCAGGCTGAAACTGAAACCGAAAATGGTTTTATTTTAAATTTTTCTAATATTTTATAAACTTTTTATTTTTTTAATATTTATTTTTATGTATTAATTCATTTTTTATTAAATATTTTTATTTTTTACTTTACTTTTAGGGGCTTCGGGGAAATATTGGGGATCTAAACAGAACAATGATATTTCCCTTTTAAAATAGAAAAAAAAGAGATTGAGAACAGAGTCGGCAATCTCTTTCTGTGTCCCCTGTTATCAATGAACAGGAATCCTCTATGAGTGTTCCTGTTCATTGATAACATGAGGACAGAGTATGTTTACTAACGGGATGCGCCGATGGATCGGCAGGAAAATGGCACTTTCGTCATTCAGCCAAAAGTGCCATGTTTGGCCGATATGTTTCGGCGGCCGATATATCGGTGCATCCCTGATTTTAATTACATTATTATTATTATTATACAGGATTTATATAGCGCCAACAATTTGCGCAGCGCTTTACAAAATAAGGAATACAATATAAGACATAATACAGAGGACGCAGCAAGAGGAGTGAGGCTGCGCAGTGAGAAGTAGCAGGGACAGGGACCGGCTGGAGTCTCAGAGAGTTATACAGGAAGCCAACACGTGACTTAGCCCAGCCGACGCCACCAAAAATTGAAGTATCTGTCGGGAAAGGGCGCCTTGTAGTGGAATCACGCTGTTGTTTTTTTCTGCGGCAGACAGAGAAGATGAGAGCGTTGTATACCATTCAGATGGAGGAACGCATCACGTGTCAGAGGTGTTCCCAGCAGAGGACCACCCACTGCGACTGGCTAACTATCCCACTCCAAATCTCCCATTCTAAGTTCCACAGAAAACTGACATTGGTAAGTGGGGGGCGGCAATCATCAGATTTGGGGGTTCTTGTTATAATTGCTGCCGGATAACTGGACCCTTTCCCTTCATACGATCGTTCTATAACTGCGCCGCATGTATCGGGGAGAAATGATCCAATATGGTAGTTCCCTTACAGTGCCGGGGTCTGGGATTCGGTTACCACCGGGGATCACCATGAAGCTCTTCTGATGAGACATGTGCACTGCCCAGAAATTTTTTCTTTTTATTTGGATTTTTCATTTTTCGGGGTTCGGATCCGAAAGTCAATTCGTTTTCGGGATTTGGATTCGGCGAAATCCGAATTTTCGGAGTATGAATTCATTTTCGTTACAGATAAACATTCGTTCCTACCGAAAATACGTACAGACTAACTAAAATTTGGAAACATTTTTTCAAGTTGATGCTTAACCCAATAACACTTCATTCGGGAAAGAAATTCGGATGCATCCGAAATTTGGGTTATCGGAAATTCATATTCGTTTTCATTCGTTATTTCTGCATTTGGATTTTCGGATGCCTCCTAATGTACGAATTTCCGAAAATTGGTCCCCATAACGAATCTTTGCAAAACGAATTGCACATGTCTGCTTCTGAGGATCATGTCTCTTCCCGTACACCATACAGATAATGATGCGTCCTCGAAGACCGGGGATTCTGCTTGTGTGCATGGAGTTTGTATATTGCTCTCCACCTCTGTTTGAGTTTCCTCCCACAAGCCATAAAAATGCTGCAAATTGAACCAGATTTCCCTCTAACCGGTGTTCTATCAAAGTTTGTGACTGCATTAGAATGTGTGACCTGATATACAGCTATTGGCAATAAAATATTTTGCTTTTTCAACTTATGGTGTGCTGGTGACATTTTTCTATTGACCGGTGACGTGGTCACACATTTTAACGTGATCCCGCCCAGTTTCTCGGCGGAGGAATGTGTGACTAATGACGTGGTCACACATTTTAATGTGATCCCGCCCAGTTTTTTGGCAGTAGAATGTGTGACCAGTCACGTGATCACACATTTTAACGTAATCCCGCCCAGTTTTTCGGCGGTGGAATATGTGACCGGCAAAAGGTGAAGAATTCCAACGCTTTGTCAGCTGTTCCCGGGCAGATCGGCATCGCAGATCGTATGTGCAGGAGAACCGATCTGCCCTGGAACAGCTGATCGGTCCTGAGAGGTCATTTCTATCCGACTCTTTGACAACGATCTCACATTCCACAGAGTCCGATAGAAGTGACATTTCAGGACCGATCAGCTGTTCCAGGGCAGATCGGTTCTCCTGCACATGCGATCTGCTATGCCGATCTGCCCTGGAACAGCTGAGAAAGCGTTGGAATTCTTCACCTTTTGCCGGTCACATATTCCACCGCTGAAAAAGTGGGTGGGATTACATTAAAATGTGTGATCACGTGACTGGTAAAATTCTGCATGCTCTATTTTTCGCGTTCACAGTGGACCAGAAGGAAGGGGCAACTTTGATGTGCATGTGCGATTGCTGTGCGTTCCAGCAGCTACCGCAATTGGTGCTAACAAGCCCTCAGTCTCCCCTCCCCCAGCAACATTGTATCTTTGTAGTAGGACACAAGGTGAGAGGCTGCACCAGGGTCTGATCTGTGTCAGCCAAGAACTGCTTTATATGACTGTGTCATCTCTGAGCCGGCATCCCAGTCCAGTAAGTAGATAGTGACCCTGAATGATGACTGCACGGCTCTGTCCTACTGGAGAGAAAAGCAGATGAAGACGTTGTCTGTGACCTTTGTAACAAGTGTTACACTGACGCATTACTGAGCACGCTGCACTTAGCATGAAGAATATCTCTGATGACGGCTATATGATAAGGGTGTTTGTTAGTCCATCGGGAGGCAGGAATGTGATTGGTCTGTATACTGTGTCGATCTATTTATGTCACACAATAACATAATGCGCCATGTTTGTGTGTCTATCAGGAACGCACTCTGTGGAGATACTTTCGTTCGCAGGAAACACACGACGACAAAAACTTCTGCCCCAAATGTGAAAGTAGCAGAGCAGTGAAGGTAATGTCTGCCCCCCTTATATATACATAAAACTAGGCCTACGCCTTCTACAGTCACCACCTACAGGACATTCAAGAGCCTGCGCAGACACAAGCACATGGGAATGTATAGAGGTCTTGTACTTTCATTCCTCATTACGCAATCTTTCATGCAGCCAGCCGACCTAGCCTCAGTCTCCTTTTCACATGACTTCCTCCATCTTATTACCAACCTGGTATTTGCAGAGCTCAATAGCTTAATGTCAAATCTACACATACTCTGCCCTCATATGAAGGCTCCATCTGGGGTTTCAATCAGACACAGCCAGCCTCCAGGCAGGTCACTACTCCTGTGCTGTCTCTTTAGATGACCGTCAGTACTCTGGGGAATCCTATGTTATCTGTTAAATAATTATAAAGTAATCCTTGTATTCCAGGTGACACATTTTAGATCGTTGCCGCGCACACTAAGCATTCACTTGAAACGCCTGAGCCGCAAGAATCCGCTGCAAAAAGTCAACAGAACGCTGTCCTTCCCGCCGGTTCTAGATCTCCTCGAGGTCCTGGATCCGGAACATCTACCGCAAGAAGAATATTCCCCGGTGAGAGAGTTGACAATATATGTTTCAGCACCATCCAATATATGCAGGAGCAGAGCCGATCATAAAGGGTGTGGCTTATGTCAGGGCGGGGAATGTAGTTAACATGCTCTGGGTGACACCAGCCAAGAAAAGGCTCCTGATTACTGCACAGAAATAAAAAAACAAGTTTGGCTGGACATACACTATGGGGGTCTATTTATAAACAGTTCACAGAGCCATTCACTCTGAAGATCTTAGTGAACGCTCGTTCTGAAAGAGAGACAAAAACAAACGTTCTTTGTATATTTTTTTTCCAGGTTGAATGTAATGTAATACAGCATTATGGCCACTAGATGGCACCGAGGATCATAGGAAATCAGTACTTTGTTTCTATGCTTCTTAGCTCCATCTAGTGGCCCTAAAGCAGTATTACTAGAGGTGCACCGAAATGGAAGTTTCTGAAACGAAACAGAAATTAAAAAAATTGTCAGGCCGAAACCAAAAAATTTTTATTTACATTTTTTCATTTTTTTTTTAATATTTTATTTTTATTTTTTATAAACTTACATTTTTTTAATATTTATTTTTATTTATTCATTTTTTTAAACTTTACTTTTAGGGGCTTCGGGGAAATATTGGGGATCTAAACAGACCCCTGATATTTCCCTATTAAAATAGAAAAAGAGATTGAGGACACAGAGTCCTCAATCTCTTATTCTACAGCCCCTGTTATCAATAACAGGAATCCTCTATACTGAGTTTTTTTCCTGTTCATCCATAAGGCCCCGTTCACATATAGCGAATTGTCGCGCGATTTCCGCCGCGATATCGCGCATTTTTGCTGCGCGATATCGCGAGAAGTCGCCGGCCAATGTTATTCAATGGAGCTGTCTTAACTCCATGTCGCGCGTCGCTCGTCGCTCGTCGCGGTCGCAAGTCCCTTCTACCGGACCCTTTTTTCGGCGGATTTTGCGCGATTTTACTTTTTTTCTATGGAGCCCGACGGGGAAGGTCGCGCTACCGTCGCTGGATCGTCGCTGGAACGTCGCCCCGAAAGTCGCGCTATCCCGGCCGTGCGGATCCGCTGCAAAAGGTATGTCGCTATATGTGAACGGGGACTAACATGAGGACAGAGTATGTTTACTATAACCACATTCATGAATGAACAGGAGATGATGTAGATCACTTCCCATTCATAATTGAGGAACATAGTAACCAAACTCTGTCCTCAATTATCTACAAACACTCAGCGATCACTGATCACTGAGTGTTTGTATCTCGCTCTCCATCCTGACACCTGTCAGAGGCTGGGATCTCCTCCCCGCACCGCTCACTTAGCCTCCTGTGACAGCGCTAACTGTCTCCGCCCCCACACCGCTCTGCCGGACTGTGATAGGCAGCTCAGCGGTGTGGGAGGAGAGACGGCAGCCGCTCACAGCGCTTTCCTCACGCAGTGCTCGGCCGCCTGTGACACTTTCTCTCCTCCCTGCTGGGACACAGAGCAGCGCTCAGCGGGGAGTAAAGAAAGCACGAATGAGCCGCTATATCTGCAGAAAAATGCCACTTTCGGCATTTAGCCAAAAGTGCAATTTGTGGCCGATATGTTTCGGAGCCTGATATATCGGTGCATCCCTAAGTATTACATTACATTACATTTGACCTGAAAAGATAATATACTAAGAAGAACGAACGTTCACAGAGATTCACCAGATTCTGTGAATTGTTTATAAATGGCACCAGTTTTTAACTGGACAGTCCAGTTTTGTAAGCACGGACCAGGTTCGTAAATTGCTATGCAGAGGATCCACCTTGGGCACTGTGCATAGCAAGTCCCAACATTTCGGGTGTACCTTGTCCAGGGCTTTGGTGGGCTTCCTTCACAATTACATGGCACTATATTGCTACAATAGGTTCCATTTTGGGAAAGATTAACAGCTATAGTTCTGCAGTTGCAGCGTTTTTAAAGGGATAAAACCTGGAGAAATGTACTCCAGAGATGTGCTGCGTTTTTTGCCCTGACATACAAATGGCGCGGTGACTCTCTGAATTCTATTGTATACACATTTATAATATTCAGAATAAAATACATCTCTGTGTGCTCAGTGATTCCCCCGTGTGGCCCCATCGCTGGGATCTCTTGGGGTCACCGAGGTCATTTCTAGCCAATAGACTCACCTGCCTTGTTTTGTTGTCTTTCAGCCGCACTATAATTATCGCCTGTTTGCCGTTGTGGCGCATTCTGGCACCGGCGGCCTCGGTCATTTCTGCTGTTACATCAACAGTCACAAAGACGGCAGATGGTATTTCTTCAATGACTCCAGCGTGTGCAGGGTGAGGCGCTCCGAAATATCACTTCACTTGTCCTTGAAAAGTAAAAGACGATTTAACGGGAAATATTTGTTGGTTTATATAAAATAGATTGTGATAATATTTACACAATATACACAGTACAAATGAAAAATAGATTTAAATCTGCTTATATTTTACCTTACCTTGTGATTCCCCCCTCCCCCATCAACATGCTAATTAGTGTTTCAATAAAACTTTTATGCTTTCATTACATACCTTATTTTACGCTCAGTGAGGTCATCACTGGGTCTCCGTGCTACTCTATGCTATGCAGGCAGTTTGTGCATCTGCCCCTCCCACAATGGTGAGATTTCCCCCAGTAGTTTGTGCCTATGCCCCTCCCACAATGGTGAGATTTTCCCCAGACGTTTCTGTGAATTTTTAGTGGTGGATTTTTTTTGTATTTAGTTGTAGTTCTTTGGACATGGTTTTAATAGTTGTGTGTCTTGTAGGTGTCCTGGGATGATGTGAAATGTACATACGGGAACACCATCTTCAAATGGTGAGTATATAAGGGATAAGAGAACCCGATGACAGTATGGAGGGGACATAGTAAAATGACAGCAGCACTTAAAAATAATGCCCAGGGATACGGCCACTTCCAAAATGATACAGTCATGAAATCTTATATAAGGTAAATAGAAAGTAAGAACTAGACTACAAAAGGTATGTATATATTAGATAAATGATCTCAGAGTAAGGATGAGCAAAACTAAAAGGTCCATTTATAACCAATTTGCAGAGCCGCTCGCCCTATGAATCATTCTGAATGTTCCTTCAGTGCAAATAGATGCAAAAAGAAATGTTCTTGGATAACATACTAAATGTTGGCCCCAATCAGGAACCTGGACGGCACCTCATGACACGCCGCCCAGCTTCCCGATTGGTCAGGAAGCCAGGCAGCCTCTGTTCTTTCACTAGTATACCGGCTTCACAGGCAATCAGGAAGCCGGGTGATGGGTCATGATCCGCCGCCCGACTTCCTGATAATCGGGGCACAAGGCATCGGGACTCGGTACCGGCGAGTACCGAAAAAATATATATCGGTACTCGTACTCGATATCGAAAAACCGGTATCGGTGCATTCCTAGTTTTAAGTCTTTTTCACCAAAAGGAAAAAAACTAATATTCACCAACAGTGAAAATATTAAAGAACTCTGGGGAAATCAAAAACGTATCCTTTGCATTGGGGCTACTTCAGCACTGCAAGGGTTAAGTGCTCCTTTTTTCTGGGGGGGGGGGCTCAAATAAAGCAGATTTACTCACCTGATCCTCGGTCCTGAAGTGGTCGGCACTCTCCTCTTTCCCCCTCCGCTCCAGCCCTCGGTGTCCTGATGTCTAATGCAAGTCAATGGACCTGCATAAGATGTGATGATGTCAGTGAATCATAGACCACCGGAGCTCGGGGGAGAAGAGGCTGCTGGGACCGCTCTAGCAGCTGAGTGGGACCAAGAATCAGGTAATACAGCTTTATTTGGGCCCAGTAGACAAAACAAGCTCTTAACCCTTGCGGTGTGGGGGTAGCAAGTTTTTTATTTTACCCAAATTCTTCTTTAAAGGAGAACTATGAGGTGAGTGCTTTTCACTCACCTCATAGTTCTAGCCGACCTGTGACAATGAGACTGTCACAGGTCGGCTCAGTAGATCGGGAGGTGAGGGAACACATACCGGCGTTCGCTCACCTCTCGATCCTGTCACGGCTCTCTGCCGTGACAGGGGAGGGGCTGGATTCCCCCCTCCCCGCTCTGATCCGCCAGCGCTGACTGGCGAAACGGACGGGGAGGGGGCGTGTACAGCTGGCTCTGCCTCTAGATAGGCAGAGCCAGCTGTCAGTCACGCAGCTGGGCGGATCCCGGCACAATTGCCGGGATACGCTTCAGCTGCAGTGTCTCAGTATACCGCGAACAGCTGCTTGCGGTATATTGCGGTGTCTCAGTATACCGCGAGCTACAGCTTGCGGTATACTGAGCCTAGGGTGACGGGAGGACGCTAGTTTGTGTCCTCCCGTTACCCTGAGGAGAACTATGAGGAAAAGCCTTAACCCCATAGTTCTCCTTTTAATTTGGCAGTAAAGTCAGTCTCACCAGAATCCCTCCGCCCGTCCCTAACTTATCGCTCAGGGCCTCTGTGTCAGGGATAAAGAGCTGAACGCAGTGACAAGCTTCTATTGCAGTTCTAACAGTTTTCATATCTGTGTATTTAGCCGTTTGCTCGGAGTTTCCCTTTAATCCATTGCGCATGCAGGAATGCTGTAGACGTGGCGGGGAAATGAGTCTCACTTCTCCTATGTTCTTCCGCAGGGGGGTGACGGCGTGCCTGCTGGTCTACGTACAATCGGACGCTCCGTCAGGAGACACAAGACCTCCCGTGTGACACAAGGACAATGGGACAATCCTCCGCGTAGCCACTCTCCA